AAAACGGAGATCTGGTATAAGCTGAGGTTCGGGCTTTAGGTAAAGTGCAGGGATTGCGCGTAGGACGAGTGGGAAGAAACCAGTTATATTCACGCAAGTGTGGCGGGGCTTTGTCAAGACGAATAGAATGAACAACAATACACAGTTTTCGATCCGCTTGACTAGAGATAGGGAAGGTGTTAAACATATCATACAGCTCGGCAGAAGGAAAGTATGATGGTTTGCGGAAAAGGACTTTGAGTATCCTCTTATTGTGGACTTCCAGGGTACTCATTAACGATTTACTAAGTAGGGATGACCAGGCGGTTGAGCAATAGAGAAAAATGGGGAGAATATAGCAATGATAAAAAAGGCGAATGCATTCAAGCGGTAGGTGGGAGCAGTGAGACACGAGGTAGCCAACAGCTTTACTGACTTTGCTACAGATATAGTCGACATGTCTGCTAAACGATAAGTCTGAGTCAATGACCAAACCAAGATGCTTGTGTTGTTTTACCACTGTGAGGTCTGTGAGGGATCTGGGAAGAGTGAATGCATAGGTTGGCTCTGAGTTCGGCAGGAATAATATCTCAGTCTTGGCGATATTAGGTCTTACTCTTAGTCTCCAGGTAGTCATCCACTGATGGACTTCGTTGATACCGCGTTGGAGACTGTCTCGCAGCCTGTCTAGACACTCATTGAACCGGAGCAGTGCAGTATCGTCAGCAAATAAGGACACACCTTCAACATGACTGGGAAGATCATTTATATACACTAGGAAAAGGAGGGGCCCTAGGATGGATCCCTGGGGCACTCCGGACAGAACAGGTGAAGCATCTGAGAGAGTTCCACCTACAAAGACAACTTGCGTTCTGTCGGATAGGTAGTCTGTAATCCACTCCAGCGCTGAGTCACACACACCGAAAACTTTGGAAAGTTTAGCAAGTAATGCACGGTGCCACACGGTGTCGAAAGCTTTCTCGAGGTCGAAAAAGCACATGGCAACTTTCCGCCCCATATGACGATGGTTGGCAATGTTTTGGATCAGCTTGGTGAGCTGTAGAGCGGTCGAGTCACCACGACGAAACCCAGATTGCGCGGGATCCAGAGCAGGAGAAATATGATTATACAATTGATTGAAGAAGAGCCGTTCGCAAAGTTTGGAAATACAGGACAGGAGGGAAATTGGGCGATAGTTACTAGCTTGAGATTTGCTGCCTTTGCACTTGTAAATAGGCACAATTTTAGCCAGTTTCCAGTCAGTAGGGAACTTGCCTGTGGTAAAGGAGAGGTTAAATAGGCGGCTAAGTGGAAAAGAAATCGCAGGAGCTAGCTTCTTTATCATATTGTTCGTGATACCGTCTAGCCCTGGCGCTTTCCCAGATTTCAGGTTTGAGATGGCTTTACGAACATCTGCTGTAGTGATATGAACGCGGGTGAATTGGTGAGTAAGACGAGTGTCATATTGGAGAGGGGGTATTACTAAACGTGGGTCATCAGGCACCGCGACAGAGGTAAACTGCTTGTTGAGGATGGTTGCTTTTTGGAAGCTGTCGGACACCAGCAGCCCATCAGGGCTTGCAATGTCAGGGATGCCAGGTTTTACTTTGTGCGATCGCTGACTGCGGACAAACTGGTGCAGCGTAGTGCTGCCTGAGGTAAGTGTTGTTTTGATTGAACGAATGTACTGGCGGTGGCACCAGCGGGAGAGATGTCTCACCTGGTTCCGCTGTGCCTTATATGCTGATAGGTTGTAGTCCGTAGGGAATTTCTTGGAGAGGCTGAATAGGTCACGCTTCAACTTGATAGCCTTGCGTAGTTCAGTGGAAACCCATGGATGATATTTGCGTGTAGACCCTGGGGTTGAGGGAGTTCGATTTGGTTTGCGGGAGCTATGAAGGGGAACATACTTGGACAGCACAGTCTGCAGGACACTGTGCAGGTTACTAAGTGCACTGTCCACGTCTGAGGATATTAATGAGTTCCAAGGTACTGAGTCTAAGTCTGCATTGACCGCCTCCCACACAGCAGGTGTGACGTGTCGGAGATCGAAAGACATAGGGTTAGGCTCCTGAGCTTGAGACGTTATTTCGCGGGGAGACTGAGGCAGGGGGATGTCGAACTGGCAGTACACAATGGCATGGTCTGAGGCGCCCAGAGGGCAGTCAGTTTCGACGCAAGACGAGAGATTGGCACGGTTACTAAATACCAAAATCCAAGCAGGCTTGGACACCAGAGGGTGACGTGTATGTACATGTGTTGATGAGTTGGTGAAGACCAAATGGACTGAGCGTGCGATACAATTCAGCACCGGCAGTATTGGTGGAATCTGTCGAACACCATGACGTGTGCTTGCTGTTAAAATCACCTGTCAAGATAACGTGAGAAGATGAAAGAGGAAGAGTAATGAGTACGTCTTCGAGAGTCTGGCAGTACCTTGCTATATCTGTTGGCTTAGCAGAAGGTGGACGATAACTGCAGCAGAGGAGGATCGGCTCAGCTGCAGCCGGATACGGCTGGAGTTGAACCCAAACGGCTTCGCACCCATCGCGAGCTAGATCGGGACGCATGGCAACAGACTTAAACTTATTCTGTCGAACAAGGATAGAGACACCACCATAACCTCTTGCACTTGTCCCGGACTTATTCTCTGCAGGGGGCCTGTCCCTCCGGAAGGTGTCATAACGCGTAATATTAAGTGCAATATTCGGGTCGAGCCAGGTTTCAGTTAGGCAGATTATGTCAGGCTGCCACTCTTCAGCAACAATAGTAAGCTCTGTACACTTATTTACTACAGAACGACAGTTTGTTGATAGGAGTGTGAGCTGGGGTGGTGTAGAATGCTGGTGAGTGGGAAGGGAGTGTCTGGTAGGAAAGAATGGGTGTGCGTGTGGGTTCAGTGAGGAAGGTGGGTGTGGGTCCAATTGCATGGTTTAGTTACTAGCAGACTGATCCAAGGTTGTGCTGTCAGATGCAAATCTCCATTCCCTGATGGAAACTTTGCTTGGCCAGAAATCTTCTTCGAGAACCTGGTCAGTATGCTCAGCCGGAACAACAAGGTGAGCATAAGCAGTACCAAAGTACTTGGACTCCGAAATTGAGCAACTGAGGACGTCAACTGCTTTCTTTTTGCACCACTCCCTGATAGAGTCAGCCTCACACCCAGGATCGACATTTCCAAGGTAGAAGGCCTTCCGCTTGATCCTTTCTGCCCCCTGGAGGCTGCCTCGCTTACTGGACATCGGCTTTTTGTACTGTGATGTGATAGAACGCTGCAGTGCGGGAGCACGAGCCATGTGTCGGTGTGGAGGATACTGCCAACCATTATGGTCAGTGTCACCAGGAGTGCCAGAGCTGGTCATTCGCGTGCCATGTTTGGGTGCGGGAGGTGCGTACTGGGAACCTACTTGTACCATGGGCTCTGTAGAGGATGCGCCAGGAATGGTAGAAGTGTACATATTTGGACCTACTTGTACATTGGGCTCTGTAGTAGATGCACGTGAAAGGGTGGCAGCGTACGTATTCGGTTGGTACCGAGTGGTTAGTGGCACTCCCGGGGCTCGCACTTGCTGACTTTTGAGCTCCCCCATCTTTTCCCGCAATCGTGACAATTGGGCTTCGAAGTTTTCTTGCGAAGACTTACTTGTTTCAATCACATTTCGTAGTTGCAAAATCTCATTTGAAAGTGCTCGGACTACGTCTAACAGTTCTGATAGAATTGGTACCATACCGGTTTCAGATGGCGCTCCTCTGGCTGGTGCGCTGGCTCCCTGGCCCTGCTTACGGAGAGCGAACACGAGGTCCGCCCTGGATAGGTCGTCCCATCCTGGAATTCGGGCGTCCTTGGCTACCTGCTGCAACACATTGAACTCGATCAGGGCTAGGTCTAGGGTTGAGTCCGCCATAGCTGTGCTTCCTTGGTCAGTGCTCGACAAACAAAATAAAAGTAAGGAGCCGATTGGCGGAGCAACAAAATTTGCTTCCACCTACTACCACACCAAAAAAGGCTATGTTTGATAGAAAAGAAGTGTCTACTGAATTGTGTGGATTTGCGTCGTTGCATGCGAATACTTATTACGAAATAATAATAATAATAATCGCCAAGGTCGCTACCACTATTTTGTAATGTTTTATTCTGTTTACTGAAGGATGTACCCAGAGTGCTTGACAGTGCTCAACACCACAAAGGCAGAGCGTAATACACAACAGAACAACAAGGACAATCAAGGCTTGTTTGCTGCTACTTCAAGTTTCATGCTTACGCAATCATCAGGCAACAGATGTTGCCTGATGATTGCGTAAGCATGAAACTTGAAGTAGCAGCAAACAAGCCTTGCTTGTCCTTGTTGTTCTGTTGTGTATTCTGTTTACTGTATAAGTTCAAAGTTTCGCTTCGAATTAACTTTGGCTATGTTTGTTAGGGGGCAAGAAACACCTAAAGTTGGTACCAAACCAAAGCATTTTTTGTGAACGTTGGGGGTGACAGACCTCGCCCAAAAACGAAATATAGTACGTAACAAACCTGCTGGTGGAATGATCTAAAGAAAGATTCCGTAAAAACGAACGCTTGTACTTATATAGTGCCTTTTTCTATTACACGATCACTGGACTGCTTCTCAAAGGAGGACCAAGCTTGCTATGAACGTCCGCACATGGTGCTTGGCATTTCTCTGTTGCTGTGCGTGGACACTATCTGCACCACAAGTATTCTGTGCAAGGTATACCAAATGTTGCAAGTAGCTTCTGCTGTTCCTGTTAGTATTTTTTTATTTTTTCACCATGTCATGTCCCTTCTTCCCTCTCTCATGACAGCCACCTTCACTTCCTTTCCCCAGGAGACTCCCTTTCATAGGCATCTGTTTACCTCTGGAGAATCCTTGAAAATATAATATCAATAGAACAGTCACATGGGATACGCATAGTGATGCCCTCGCACTCGCGCAGTACCGGCTCTGATACTTCCCTCGTGCCCGGGACACACAAGCACACAAATGTGAAGGCATTGTCAATTGCGCACTTACCAAGCCACTGGAAAGCACGACTATGATGGGGTATCCTGGGCCTTGGTCACTAGGCTGAAATGGGTTGTAGCTAGCTGCAGAGCTGCCTTCACCTGCACGTCGCCTATTCTCATTGTCCGGCTGCTCTGAGTGGTCCTGGTTGGAGGCGATATCATCCAGGGATGATTTCATTCTAGAAACCGGCAGGCAACAGTACTCCAAATTGCTTGTAGTGCAGAGGGATTGAGAACACGAATCCAGAATGGACTGGCTTGCAGTGGAGGAAGTGGATTGGGTAGAATCCTCCAGTCGGCTTGCGTTCTGCAAGGTTGACTCCTTTGCATCATCCTTTTGGCTGACCGCAACTGTGCAATCTTCCTCATTGATCAGTGCTTGGAAGAGGTGTGTGATCTGCTCAACCGTGCCAAGCACTTTGTAGTTGTCTGGAATGCAGTGCTGCGTTAGCTCCTGGACAGGGTGCAAGGGAGTTAAAAAAGTTGCCAGAAACAGATAATAATTATGTGAATATGAACAGACGTGTACTGTAAATACTGGGTGTTCTCCAAATACAACCTTGCAACCACTTAAAACAGTTACTTAGACCAGGTCTCATGTTCCTTATATGAACGAACCCTTCCATCTTCAAGACAGACTTTACTGCTAGTTATAGCCAATAGAATAATAGCAGTTCTCATGAATATCCGCCTCGCCGCTATCCAACCGTGACAAGCCAATTTCACAGAGTGGAGTACACCATTAAGTGGACTCGGTACTTGGACAAACACACAGAAATGACACGACAAAGGCCTGGAAATGGGGGTGCGATGTATAACAGAATACAACTTATAATTGGGGAAATGCGGTACATTACGAAATAGTGGTAGCGACCTCGGCAAAAATTTTATAAGGAAGTTTGGTTTCTCCCACACTGGAGCTCGCGGGAAAGCGCGAGCTCCAGTGTGGGAGCAACCAAACTTCCTTATAAATGCGGTACATGTTCATAATAATAGGTCTACCTTTGCCGAAGCTTGCACGCCGCACGTTTGGCTGACTGCGTCTCCACCTGTTACTCTGCACACGTTGTCATCAAGGTCAGTTTCAGTCGAAGATGATGAACTTGTTATCCCACCTTGGACGGACATCATAAAGGGAACCTGGTGACAGATAATAGTTCATCAGTGCAGATAAAGAATATTATAATACGCACACACGCACACGCACGCGCGCGCACGCACGCAGGCAGGTAGGCACGCACGCACGGAGGCACGCACGCCCACGCGCCCACGCACGCACACACACACACACACACACACACACACACACAGTAATATAAGCATCATACCTGCAGTTCTAAGTTCCTAACTACATGTAGACATTGCAAAAGGATCTCAGTCGGAGTATTTCTCGCTCCCCAGGCACGACTTCACCTCGAAACTTTTTTTTAATTGCTCCAGCAGTTGAGGCACAAGGCGTCGCAGTTGTCACAGGCTGAGCTCAGTCGCAGTGGCCTCACAACTCAAACCTGCAGCATGCACGTCTCCAAATCCGCATTACCGATTTGAGCAGAGTAAAGGGGGGTTCACAGAAGCTTTTTTGCGATGCGACCCGCGATGCGACTGCCGCGAAACCGGGAAATCCCCAAATCGCAGCCATCTCGCACCCCACGCACCTGCCGCAACTGGGCCATAGCAGAACTTAAGCTTGGCTCAACCTTTGCGATGCGACAAGCGATTTGGCGTAAGATTTTGAACTTTTCTACAGCAAAGTTGTACAAAGGTTCAAAATTGCCTACTTGGTCCGCGTCAGCGATGTTGTCGCTTATCTTTCAGCTTTGTTTATATGTCGCAAATGCTTACTTGGCAGCCCATTTCATCCCAATTTTGGTTGGCAAGTTAGTTTGCTAGTACCTGAAAGGTCTAGCTAGAGTTCGAGTGGATTTCGAGAGCGACAGGTGGGTGATTCTGATTGATACAGCGCCGCATCAAAATAGATTATCTTGTTACGCTGGTGCAGGCAAGAGCAGCGCAAGCCAAAAGAAAGTAATCGACTACTCGGAATCAGCTCCATTTTGCTGAACGGCCGAGATCGCTCACCTCAGGGATCGCTCATCAATCTGAGATCGCAGCTCCCTTACCTCCAGCTCCTCGCTCGGAGTATCCAGCGCGTCGTGGAGATTTGCAAGTACATGTACTGTACGTGTTGTCGTCGTCGTTCAAAATATGAGCCGGCGCAAGCGAAAAGGGACCTTATCCTGCTGCACGTGATTTTGAGAAAACCGCACTTGAAGTGAATCAGCTGATTCTCAGCTGTCACGTTCGGATCGAACTTGAAACTGTTCGTTTTTTGGCGATACGCGACTTCTTTGGAGCTCAGTCATTCTTTCTATTGGAGAGCCAGTATCCTACAGCTCCTGTAGAAGAAAACCCTGGCTAAATCGACCCACGTACCACCGATCGGCGATCAAAATCGATCGACCGTGACACGTCGACACCTACGCTGAATAGAATCGCACGCGCAAGCGGAAAGACAAAAAGTTGCTTTCACAGTTTCAGCGCAGTTGTCTTGCCGTCTTCGCTTTCTGCTAAGTCCTTGGGTCGGCGTAGCTCTTCACTATGAGCCATCGTAAATGTTTCACTGTGAACGAAGCGCTGAAATCTCTCCTGGAAGAGGATGAGGCTGAAGTTTTTGGTGAGGAAGACGAGTCGGACGCCAGTGATGTTTCGGTTCAATCTGACGACGGCGACGATGATGGCGATGACGATGATGATGGTGAACACTTTCTTGAGCAGCGAGTGGATGTCGATGCAGCAGCAGAGCTGTATGTCGGAAAGGCAGAGCCCAAACCTCCGCAGGCTAGCTCCGCAGCAGCTTGTGCAGCGACCGTTGCGCCGCCAGAGGAGGATGACACTGTTCGTCAAAAAGAGAACTGCGGATGTTCAAAAAATTGCTTGCAGCAATTTGACCCAGCTGACATCGAGACGTCGATCCTCAACATGAGAGAAATGGAGTCGCACGAGAGTGAGCTGGTGGTCCTGGGCCTTCTTGAAGCTTTGAGTCATCCTGAAACAGTTTTTAAGAGTGGAGAGAAGCGCAAGAGGGAGCGTTTTACCTACAAATTCCAAGGACTAACTGTTTGTGTGGGTGCGTTCCGTCACGTGTACGCACTGTCTAGCAAGAGGCTGAAACGGTACAGAAGCCACCTGGAGAAGAATGGGCTTGTGCCACTAGTGCACGGCAACACAGGCAAACGGCCACACAATGCCCTGGAGTTTGCTGTTGTGAAGTACTGCGTGGAATACATCACTGGGCACGCGGAAGTGTTTGGAATTCCACATCCTGCGCCGCTCCGTGGCAGAGACGACACGCCACCTATCTTCCTTCCAGCGTCGCAAACGTACAAGTCCGTGCATGGAGACTTCTGCGACTGCTGCCACAAGGAGGGTAAGAAGTCTGTATCCTTGTCGACGTTCCGCTCAATCTGGCACCAGACATTACCGCATATTAAGTTCATGACGGCTCGCATGGATGTTTGCCCTGTGTGCGAGGACTTGCGGCGCAACGTGATGGCGGCTGGGAGTGAGGAGCAGAAGACGACCGCATGCACTCAGCTGACTGACCATGTTCATAGGGCCCAGAGGGAGAGAGAAAGCTACCGGCAGAGAACCACAGATGCTGCCGCTGAGCTTCAGCAAGTTTCAGCCATGTCTCCTGCTGATCGCCCGCCGTTAACAAAGTCCCACTACACGTTTGACTTTGCTCAGATCGTCAGCTTGCCGTATACGGCCAGACAGGACCACTTTACTTCAAAGTGCCTCGGAAAGTCCACTTGTTTGGTGTATGTAATGAAGGCGTTGGCCAACAGGTGAACTACATTATTGACGAGGCAGAAACCATCGGTCCTGACGGCAAGAAGAGCCACAATCCGAACACTGTAATTTCTTTGTTGCACGACTATTTTTCCACTTCTGTTGCTGATGAGTATGACTGCTACGTACATGCAGATAATTGCGCAGGACAAAACAAAAACAAGTCTGTTATAGCTTACCTTGCATGGCGTTGCATTGTCAATTTGCACAGAAGTATAACATTGTCGTTTATGATAACCGGCCATACCAGATGCCTAGTCGACGGTATGTTTGGCTTGGTTAAGAGGAAATACCGTCGCTCTGACGTGTTCAGCATGCAGCAGTTAGCAGATGTGGTTGACTCCAGCGCTACCTCCAACATCCATCGACGGATCCCTGGCAATGTGACCTGGTTTGAGTGGGATACGTACCTCGCCCGGCTCTTCAAAAAAGTCCCCAACATCAGCCAGCAGCATCATTTCCGGTTCTCATCCGACGAACCTGGAGCAGTGGCAGTGATGGAGCTTGTGGATGGGATGGAAACCAAGGTGCAGCTGTTGAAGACCACACCTGAGCAGGTGAGGGCAGCAGGCCTTCCCCAAGTGTTGCCCCCAGCAGGTCTGTCACAAGAACGCCAGAAGTACCTGTTCAAGGATATCCGCCCGTTTGTGGCAGACCCTTACAAGGATGAGCTGTGTCCGCCTGTGCCGGAGGAATGACAAACTTGCGTAGTGCAACACACGTTTTGAGCCTGATAATTGCTACAGTCTGGTGCTGTGTCAAAGCTACATGCCTCGGAACATTCTATTATTCTTGTATCTAAAATGCGGCGTGCCTGCGTGGTACGGAAGGACGTGATGGCCCATCAGACGTCACGTTTGGCACTATAAATTCCATCACAGTGAAACTTATGCCAACTGCCTAGTAGTGTGTGTATACTGTATCCTCCAGCCCTTCTGCTGGTGACTCGAAGGCTTCTGTAAGGCTTCTACGGCCAAATTATTGCAATTTACGCATTTCAAAGATTATTCGTGAATATGTGCGATGTTTTGGTGAAAACAGTGTTGATTTAAACGTCCGTAACTTTGCTATATGTTGATGGATTTTCATTCGGTTTTTTTTACCTGATTCATACGTTGTCTGGCTACAAGAATCCGTTGCTAACTCAAAATGCCCAAAAAACGGATAAGGTCCCTTTTCGCTTGTGCTGGCTCAATATAATCTTGCAAAGAACGGCGTCTGATTTGAACCACACAGGCTGTCGTGCTGCCCAGGCGAAGTCCTATAGAGAAGGTGACCGTCACGATCGACTTCTCTTTACAAAATAGCCAGGCAGCGGAGAGGAAGAGAGATGAGCTTGCAAAAGCAAGAGAGTCGATCCCGAGCAAAATATTTGTCGCCAGCGCCGAGAGCAGCGACGAGGAGGACCGAAAAAAGTAGGAACCCTTCCTTGGACAATAAATTCCTCGCAGGTAGTTGTCATTCTATACCTTCCCGTCCATCGTACCAAGTTGTATCACTTCAAGTGCACGCGTTCATGTCCAAAGTCTAAGTTCAAATTGTCGAAAGATAAGCGACAATATTGCTAGCGCGGACCAAGTGTAAATTTGTACAAGTTGTACCAAACCGCGCGAATATCATGGTGACGTACCCAAATCAGCAAGACTTTGTCGCATCGCCGACTTTTTCTGTGAATGGTATTTCGCGAGTTCACATCGCACGCGTCCATCGCAGATCCCGTCGCATCGCGTGTCGCATCGCAAAAAAAGCTTCTGTGAATCTCGCTTAAAAGAAATGCACCAAAAAAGAACAGGAAAACTGGGAAACCAACAACAGCAACCCCAGAGCAAAGAAAAAAGTCTACACACTAACTTACCGTGGCAACACACTGATGGCATGTTGGATCACAATCTGATGAGCTGCTCCCATCGTTACTGTCAGCACCGCCATGGTTGCTCACATTGATATCAGCTCCTGTAGCAATGGCCATGCTGCAGTGAGATATTCCAGCCTGCATTCCACCAGGCAGGGCTCTGTAGCAGGATGATGCGTTGCTTGCTCCTGCTGGTGCACTACTTCCACGTGTTCCTGATCCACTGGTTGCAGTGTTCGGATCTCGCGTGGGAACTGAGCTTTTCGACCCAGGGCCTGCCTGTTGTTCCAACGCAGTGAGCGTGATTTGGCCAATGGCCGGACATGATTTGCGACCCATTTGGCAAACCAGCGTGACTTCAAACACTTCCTCATTACAGCCAATGCCATCTGCAGAGCAATTAATGAAAGATATTTATATCACTCTAGTTCTTCGTTGGTCGTCTTTAGTTCAATTGTTCACCCTGAGTGCAGGCAAGAATTTGTTGATTAAGTACAGTAAACGTGGTGTAAGCGACCTCTGGTTTTAGCGACCACCTGCTTTTAACGACTGTCTTCCCATGCACGGGCAGTTCTACACAGAAACTGCACCGGATACAGGGATCACCTGCCTTGCACGACCAGCGCCTAACTGTTAGTGTACCAAGTGCCATACTGGACCTGCACACAGCGACCATAACTAACCAAAAGTGCCATCTTGGCTGGCAGGATTGACTGCAATAGGGCTGAAGTGCGCTCTGAACCAAGTGCATGCAGTCCACGGAAGTGGCAATTGACAGTACAGGATACACTGCATGTACACGAGTGAGGTGTGCTTTGCCCACACGAAAGTATTCTATGCTCCACAAATGTCAATATGATGCCGCTTGTTGCGGTGAATTATCAATGGCTACACGTCGGCGCCTGAAAATGTGTTCGGTTGTGACAGGATCCCGCTTGGCACAGAGTTCGCTAAACACAGGTTTTACTGTAACGGTTCAGACTAGGTATTGTGCAGGTGGCGAATGAAAGTTTAATAGCAACAGTCGTTTGGGATACGATAGAGGACGATAAAATTTGAACGCCTAGCAAGTGCCCACCACAGCAAGACAGCAGGGGCGTACCTGGTCCCCCCTCCTTTAAAGGGGTGCACGGCCGCATCATGGACATGTATGTGTATGATGGCTGGTGCATGCCATTCATGGTCATAACGTGCATGCTGAACCCGCGTGTAGGTCGAAATGTTTAGGGGGGGGGGGGGGTGCACGTGCCCCGTGCCCCATGCGAGCTATGCGCCTGAGACAGCGTGTCTTCTTAGTAAGTTCTTACCCTTTGGTATGCTTGGCACTAGTGCTGTGAGAATGTGAGTGTGCCTGGAAAACTCAGCTGCTTGACTCCTCACAGTGCGCCTTGTGGACGTCAGTTGAAAGTAAAGGGTATGACCTTGCGACGCACAGTCTGGGATAAACCCGTTGAAGTGTGCCTCCACATGGAATTGTCGCTGAAAGTCAAGAACACGCAGAAAACACTGAAAACGGTGATGTGTGCAGCACGCGTAAGCTCTCCGGCGTCGGGCACTACTGTGTGACATTGCTGCCGCCACAGCCTACACAGAGCCTTACCAAGGTTTTTTTTTAGTACAGGGTGTACTCACCGAAAGAAATGTGGCTGCCAGATAAAGGCCAATTAAGTGCTGGTCCCATAGAAAACCTATCCACGTCCTGCAAAGACACTATATCATTCTTGGTATATGCCGCTAGGAATGCTACATGCATGTATGAAAGTATCGCCTAGGCACGTGCGCAGTTCGGCCCCATAGCTGCGCAGGCAGCGACGGTCTAAGCATTTTTGCGATGGGATGCGACGGCCGCGAAACCGGGAAATCCCCAAATCGCATCCGTCGCTCAGCTCACGCAAATGTCGCAAATGGATGATTACAGAAGTCGAACGTGGCTCCACTTCCGCTCTGCCACCTGCGATGCGATGTGCGATTTGGACCTTCTTTGCACCAAAGTTGTACCGACGGTTCAAGAGTTGCTTGCAGATTTGTAAAAAGCTGTACTTAGCCACGTGGATGCCATGGTGACGTACCAACCTGCAATGAGCTTGAGACACATCAGCAACAGGCGACGTCACATCGGTGACTTCGTCTGTGAATGGTATTTTGCCGGTTTGCATGGCGCTGTGGTGTTGTGGATCGCGTCGATCGTGCATCGCATGGCAAAAAAAGCTCGAGTGAACCCCGCTTTAAAAAGAGATATCATCCGGTACTGCCTTCGTGCAAGCAAAATATTTCATTATTTTTACCATGTCCCATGTGACCACTATACTTGACCCCTCTATATACATCTCTAGAAGTTTACTATCACAGTGTACCTGACGTATTTGGGTAGAAAGAAGGGTCAGTTCAAAGGTCAAATTCAATACAGTGTAGCAATACTGCGCAGGACAAACGGGGTTTCCCCGTGCAGTATCGAAAATACTGCATACGCTGCGAAATCATGTCATTGTTTGGCTCCATACATGACGAAAATCACGCAGAGAATAGCAAATTAATGGTGATTCACTTCATGGCAGCATCGCCCTTGTACTTACATTGAATCTTTCTTTGCCTGGCGTGAGGGTAACATGCTCTGAAATAGTGAAAGAAGAAAGCACGCAAGCACAATCATGTGCTATCAATGAGACGTAGAATTACATGTACATGTGGGAATAAAAAGGATTGTTCTTGGTGACCTCGCAAGTGCCAGAATTTTTTTTCAGGGACTCAAGACTACAAACTTACCAATTTCTTCAGGCTTGATGATTCTTCCAATGAAACTCCTGACTCCAGCCGAGGTTTGAGTAGCTTCGGCACTCATTGCCTCTGCTTGTGTGGTGGTCGAGACAGGCACTGACAGCAGTGGTCTCTGATTTGGGTGTCCCTTCAGGAGTGTAGCAAGACAAAGACAGAAGAGAACGGGGTTTGCAAAGATAAGATTATATTGCTATCACCCAAGTGATCATGGTATTACTTGTATTGGCACATTTATGGTAGGCCTTGGGACTGTGGGGATGGCCATATCAAAATTTTAATTTATAGAAAAGAAAAGGACCAATGAACTACAAGTTACGATATAATGTTCACTGACGCCACCAGGTACTAAACAATCAGCTCATGCGATAACATTGCACGACACCGACCGACGGTACTGACGTTCTACAACTAACTGGCCGTCAGCTCTAGTTGTAGAACGTCAGTACCGACGGTCAGTGTCGTGCAATGTTATCGCATGACCAGATTGTTTAGTAACTGGTGGTGTTAGTGGACATTATAGTGTAACTTGTAGTTCCTTGGTCCTTTTCTTTTCTATAAATTATAATAATAATAATTACCATACTATCGCATCACACATTAAAATTAATTTTGTTTGCACAAGGATTTCTCGGAAGAACATTTTCAAACAGGAGTACTTTCACAAGTTGTGGCGTCTAAACGTATATTACAGCTGAAAAGATACCGTGAAACCGAAAAGATCGGTCTGAATCAGGGCTCGAATACAGACCGCTTAAAAATTAATACCAAAGTACAGAATGCGTGATACGGGGGGGGGGGGAGCATTCAATAAGCTGATACACTAGTTGAAGTGGTAATGCAAAACAAGAACAAGATGTGCAAAGCACTCACCATTCCATGGAGTAACAGTTCATTCAGCTTCTTCTTGGACTCTGGAGCGGCATAAGAAGCAAACAAAAAGGCAGCCCGGGTGAAACCATTTGAAAATAGAACTACACCGGCACAATCATGAGGTCATAGACACTACAACAGGACATATCCTTCAAGTGACAGAGAGTTCGAACTTCTCCACGACAAACACGAAGGCCCAAGCGAATTGTGTGGAACAGCTTCACTGCTCCATCGAGAGATAGGTAGTGCAAGGGTGCACCAACTACATTCCATTCACAAAAAGACGAGCGCTGGTTCTGGTGGGCACCCGTACAAGTAAGTTATTTGGTGGTTTTTTCGTGATTTTATCGTACACGGTGCAGTGCCGCGAAATTTGAAACTTGAAAAAGGGTCCAAAAGGTACCTCAACCGGTGTTCGAACCTGCACAATGTACCATGGCAAGTGGAGTGAAGTGGCCTGGATTTTCATGCTTTTTCCCAATTCAGTGTTTTTGGGGGAAAACCTGGCCGAAATCCTATTCTTGTTATGGCTTACTTTTTGGAGAAATAGATTTCATGAACATAATTGGAAGAGCATTCCATGGGATTGCAAAGAAATTGTGAAAAGCTCACAATTTAAAAAAGAATACAATGGATACAATGGATACAATTTTAAAAGAGTAACTGTCCACCACTGTAATTATATTATCATATGACAGTCAGCAAAAACTAGGCATAAAACTGACAGAGTACTGAGACATTCGACGGCCCGACACCTAGCTTCAAAACATCTCCGAAGCGCTAACCAACAGCCTTCCAACTCGGAAGGTTCTAGTCTAAGGTAGACCAAAGAGGGGAAGGTAAGCGCAATGAAAATGAGTACAAGCTGAAGTCCCACGGGAACAAAGAATGTCGATTGTTACTGTCACGAACCATACGGCGAAACATACGTTGTGTGAAACTATTGTTTTGTAGTCATCTAGTTCATCACATTGTCATGCATGAGAAGTACTGGAAGAGTTCAGCGTTCGGTTTTGCACAATTCGTTTTCGCAAAGCTTCCCCTTCTTTGTTTCCGAGTTGAAGGGCTGTTGGTTAGCGCTTCGGAGATGTGTTGGAGCTAGGTGTCAGATCGTCGAACATCTCAGTACTCTGTCAGTTGTGTGCCTAGTTGTTGCACCTCTGACTGTAGACAGTATCCAGTTACAGTGGCGGACAGTTACTCTTAACTCGTATCCACATGCGCCTTTGCTTCAAAAGTTCAAAATTTGATCTATCAAAAGCTAGGATATCATCTTTTTATGAATGGTCGCTGTAGTGTAGCAGGCTCCATTCATCATTTCATAAGAGAACATGCACGCCATCAAACACAGTAAACCAACCAAAGAGAATCACCCAATGCACAAACACACACACACACACACACACACACTCACACACTGCGGCACACACACACACACACACACACACACACACACACGTCACACGGGTGCACCTCGTGCCCATGCAACAGAGGAGCAGACTCAGCGAGGGGTGAAATAGGAGATGTGACCTCGACATATGGGAATGTCCTCACCATAAGACGTCAGATCTCGAGATATACGTATCTCCTTAACAAAGGGCAGTGGGTTCAACAAAGGGTTGTGACCTCGCCAAAGCGTTGTGACCTCGGCTAAGGGTTGTGACCTCGACAAAGGGCAGTGACCTCAACAAAGAGGTGTGACCTCAACATTGTCTGCTTACAGTCCGTACATTATGTATTTTAATTGAAACTTTTGTCCTAGTCAAACGAACGAATGAGCAAACACTCAGTACCGTATTTTCCGGAGTATATGCCGCACTTTGAACACTCACATTTCACCTCAAAAAAAGGGGTGTGGTTTATACTCTGATGATCAACTTAACGGTGATAAAGAGGATAGATGTCTGTATTTCCTGGCAAAAAATAGGGGGGGGGGGGGGGGTGTGCGGCTTATACTCCGGGAAATACAGTACATTCATTTCTCCATTTCACTATTCACCTACCCTCTCTTTCAGTTGGCTCAACGATCGGTCTTGACGACGAACGTGCGCGTCTTGGCCTTGATTTTGACCTGGTGGCATCAAGCACACCTGGCTTGGCCTTGCTCCGATTCACAGCTTGTTGAAGGTTGTACGTAGTTCGCTCTGCCAGACGCTTCTGTTCAGAAAGAAGTCGATTGCGTTCAGCAAGGCGATCATTCTTTTTCTTCTCTTCAGCAAGACGAGCTGTCGCCTCTTCCTTATTCAACTTGACTTCTTTTTCCAACTCCTCATTTTTCTTCAGGACTTGTACAAGTCTGGCCATCATTTCACTGAAGTTGTTATCCGACTGAGTGGACGGTGTAGCTTTGCTCGCGGCCACGTCATCAGCTTCTAAAGAGAACAGCAATAGTGACATTGACAAAGAGGCGGAAACAGTGAAAAGAAGATACTGGAAGAGTTGAATCTCTAACGGGGTACAACGTCTAGCTTTTTAACGAGAAAGAGTCCATCGTTAACTCAAGAAACGTTACACGTACGTTATTCCTTCTCTACGTAGCACTAGAGAAATAGAAGATAGGTGTGTGCTGGCAGGGTCATTAAACTGTGTGCCCGCTTAGTGGGAAAATTGGCAAATCGTTAAACTTAAGACTCGTTACACTTTCAACTCTTACAGTAATCCTCAGGCGAAATAGCACATCATAGTACATTCGAGATCAGCGGGAAGAAGATGACGACGTCCACTAATTTAGTATCTGTGCACACGAATCTGCTGTGTGTGTTACTCTGTGTGTCAGCTATGGCATCATCGCCTGTGGTTCCATGCCTAGCATGTACGTCTGAACCATCCTGCAAAGTTTGAATGACGTAGGTTGAGCGATCGCTCCGCGAAACATACTTTTTGAAATTCTCTTCATAGTATATCTTCCACCACTGAAATTTCGAATTTCTTCGAATTTGTTGCTGAGAGGGGTGGCTTGCAACCTCAATATGGCTTGTTCCAGGCATGCTTTGGAGCCATCGCCTGTTGAAGTAGTGGCGGGATCTGCCCTGCAACTGCTACAAAAATGATTCGATCTGAGAAAGGGTGAGACCGCGAATCTCGGTTGAATATTTAGTATTTCAAGCCTTTTCACGACGAAGATGGAGTTCTTTTTGGAGATGGACGTCGCGGCAAAGGACATGGTGTCCGACTTCTGGCGTCTGGTGAAGCCAGGGATCATTTGTCCAGTCAGGTCGGCAGCCTAACCGTCGGTAAGCTTGTGTTTGGATCCCGTTCTGCTCGATGTGGTAGATCACAAACAATTTGATATCACACAAATTGATCTCAGCATCGTGCGTACGGTATTTTATATTCAGAAAATCCCAAAGTGTCTCTGTGTGGCCGTCCTATGCCACGAGAAACTCCATCAGGCTCCTATGTCCTCTGCCTTCATGATTGAATGTCCACTTCGTTTGAACAACGAACACAACAATCGAGGATGGCTTTGCAATGAAAAATACAGCTATACTGGAGCTGAAAAAAAGAAGAAGAAAACGTGCTCAGGATGAGACTCGAGTACACGCATGCTCTCCCAGCAGGTGAAACGCAAATTTTTGTGAAAAATGCGTGTCGCCGACTGACCAGTAATTTCGCCTGACGTATCAGCAAGCCACATTAACAACAACACTAAGTAATATAAAAGAGAGACAGGAGGCAAGAGAGATGATGGGCGACTGAGTGAGCAGGCATCCATCTGGTAAGCGTCAAAGTTGCTGTCCCCCGACAGAGCTCGTTTTTCACCACAGTTAGAGCCCTTTAACTTTGATACTTTACTTTTTGTCGGTTTAACATGCTTTGTTGTTCACTAGACTTCATTGTGACCGGTTCGGCCAGTCACTCAAGCTATGTTCAAACAGATAGCTGTAGTTGTCCGGAGATTGGACAAATATATACCGGTAGTTCGAATTAGCAACAAGGAGAAGAGAATGAAGACTGCGTTCCAACTCTGAGTTTCAGGCATGAGGCTATCTCCCGACACTAGCTACTGGAAACTCTGGAACTTTTTTTCTGGTTTTTACTTTGAAGTACTTGGTCCGCGCGTCAGCGATAGTGTCGCTTATCTTTCAGCTTTGTTTATATGTCGCCAAAGCTCACCTGGCAGCCCATTTCATCCCAATTTTGGTTAGTAAGTTAGTTTACTAGTACCTGAACGGTTTAGCTACAGGTCGAGTGGTTTTCCATAGCGACGGGTGGGTGATTCTGATTGATACAGCGAGGCATCAAAATACATTATCTTGTTACGCTGTGCAGGCAAGAGCAGCGCAAGCCACAAGAAAGTACAGTGTAATCGGCTACTCGGAATCAGCTCCATTCTGCTGAACGGCCGAGATCGCTCACCTCAGGGATCGCTCCTCAAGCTGAGATCTCAGCTCCCTTACCTCCAACTCAACGCTCGGAGTATCCAGCGCGTCGTGGAGATTTGCAAGTACTGTACGCGTCGTCGTCGTCGTTCAAAATAAAATCTTGCAAAGAACGGCATCAGATTTGAACCACACAGGCTGTCGTACTGCCCACGCGAAGTCCTATAGAGAAGGCGACAGTCACGATCGATTCTGTTTAGAAAATAGCCAGGCAGCGGAGAGGAAGAGAGATGAGCTTGCAAAACCAAGAGAGTCGATCGCGAGCAAAAATATTTGTCACCAGCGTCGAGAGCAGCGACAAGGAGGACCGAAAAAAGTAGGAACACTTCCTTGGACAATAAATTCCTTACAGCTAGTTGTCATTCTATACCTTACCGTCCATCGTACCAAGTTTTATCACTTCAAGTGCACGCGTTCATGTCCAAAGTCTAAGTTCAAATTGTAGAAAGATAAGCGACAATATTGCTGACGCGGACCAAGTAGAACTGGATAGATCCCCGTTTCTTCACAGTGCTTGGAACAAAAAGAAAACTAAGGCAACAGAGAAAACGTGCTTTAGACTGGCCAGACAGCTGTTCATCCTCACTGGCCCTGGTCTTACCTTGGACTTCCTCCACACTATGTCCGTGTGGGGTACTGACTGCACAAGCAGCAGCAGCAACAGATGCAGCCGCAGTGGGGGCACTGTGAGGCACTTCTGCAAGGTTGAATTCCATCGCCGGGAAGGGGTCAATTCCATCGTCATTACCTGCCGGCAATGGCAGAGTCGTGATGTGAGGCCCACATTGTCCTGAACTAGCCATGTGCCTTGCCTCTCCGGACTGGTCACAAAGAACAACACAACACAATGACAAAGCGCAAGAAAGAAACCTCTGAAGAGAGGAAACCCAGAATATATAATATTATAAGAAAGTTCACACAGACACAACCGCGCGCCCGCACACACGCACACAAACGCACACAGACTCGCACACACACAACACACAGACTCGCAAGCACACAACCCAGAGACTCGCAAACACACACACACACACACACACACACACACACACACACACACACACACACACACACACAGGCCAGGTCAACTCACATCCGGTGTCATACGTCCAAGTAAATCCTCAATATCATTGTCGGATAGTACGGGGCATTCGTGCAGGCCTACATCGTGTGAATTCCACTGCTGCTGCTGCCGCAGCTGCTCATGCTGATTTTGCTGTTGCTCCTGATGCTGCAACTGTTCCTGTTGTTGTTGTTGTTGCTGCTGTTGTTGGCCAGCCAGAGATGACCGATCGTTTATCGGCAGTGAAACAGCTGTCTCGGTGGTAGCTACCACGCCAGTGTGTGACTTCGAGACGGCAGCATGCAACATCGAACCATTGTTGCGGCCGGGAGGCTGACTGTTGATGAAGGCTGTGTCCAATTCATCAGGCGGCCTGAAGTTGTCCTGGGGTGATTTCAGCAAGCACAAAGGCAACGAGATATAGAGGTGGTTAGGAAACTTCTACAATGAGTTCGGAACAAGTTCATAATAATTTTGACTCGGGATAAACTCATTGCCAAACACATCGCAATGCCCAGTCAGCTGGGCCCAATTTGGGACATGGAAACAAGTCAGTATCTCATTCTGTACTTGTTGAGCGAGTTGTTATAAACGCCCGTTGCAAGAAGTGCACAGTTGTTCCGGTCTTCAGAAAGCATGCATGATTTATTTTCACTGCCTCAGCATCCAGCCCACCTCTGCCCATGGACACACACATGCACGTACGCACGCGCGCGCACACACACACACACACACACACACACACACACATACACACACACACACACACACACACGGGCACACATGTAGACACCAAGGAGCATACAAAGTACCTGACTGTTAGGAACTGGGTGAATAGAGATGCTTGTGTTTGATCCAGGCATTACAGCATGTGCTGGTTTAATCATATGGTTGGCCACTGGCACAGTACCGACATTGAAGCTGGATCCACCGCCTTGGTAAATACCGGATTGGGAGACCAACAGACGCCGATCAATTTGATTCACATTAGGCAGGGCAGTGTCCGCATCGGACGCGCCACTCCCACTGCTTATGTTGTTGATGTTGTCGCTACTGCTACTGCAAGAGAATGCAGCCGCGCTCACAGTATGGACTGTTTGTGGACCCTGAGTGCAAAATAGAGAGAGTACAGAATGCGACAGAAACAACACCACTGCTGCCTTGCTGGTAGCAAGGCGAAAACAAAACAGACAGACAGAGACACAGAGATACAGAGAGACAACAACGATCGCTCACATACATACAAACCTGATTATGGATGGTGCGAAGATCACTAGTGTTGGTGGTGGTATAGAAAGCCATTGAACCATTGCCATTGGTTTGAGCATATGGTTGAAATGGAGCTCCATTCACACCACCACCATTATTGCAAGATGCAGAGCCACCCAGTGGAAGTATTCCAGTTGGCGTGGTGTTGTTTGGTAATAGCCCCTACAAGGAATTGCATAGAATAATCACACGCAGAACACGGACAATGTAGCCTTGAAGATGTGACCACTCACAATGCCCAGCCCCGATTGTCGTCCCCTAAAGAAATTAAAAGACATATGTGGAGATAAAAAAAACGTATGAAACTGTACCTTCACGTGACTGCCAAAAATGATGCCAGGAACCTGTACATCTCAAGCAAGTGTCAATATTTCGACAATTTCCACTTCGGTGTTAGGCAGCTAAGCACCAGGCGGCTGGGGGTTGCTTTCGGTACTCAAACACCCCCTACCCCCCCCCCCCCCCCCCCACACACACACACCCCACAAAAAACATTCCGACATGGCTTTAACTGATGTACCCATGGCGCTGAACGTGCTATGCCTTCACCGTGAATCAGGGCTGGCCGGGGCATCTCGAATGAGTGCTCCACACACCTGCATCTGAGTGGAGAGCGGCAAAAAAATTACCTGTGACAATGGGGACAGTGTTTCGCTGTCTGTTGGTGCTGTTCGATGGTGCTGTTTGATGGTGCTGTTTGATGGTGCTGTTTGATGGTGCTGTTTGATGGTGCTGTTTGATGGTGCTGTCTGTTGGTGCTGTTTGATGGTGCTGTCTGTTGGTGCTGTTTGATGGTGCTGTTTGATGGTGCTGTTTGATGGTGCTGTTTGATGGTGCTGTTTGATGGTGCTGTCTGTTGGTGCTGTTTGATGGTGCTGTTTGACGGTGCTGTTTGATGGTGCTGTTTAATGGTGCTGTTTGATGGTGCTGTCTGTTGGTGCTGTTTGATGGTGCTATTTGATGGTGCTGTTTGATGGCCGCTCAGCGTGTGAAACTTCAAGTTACAGTAAAGCAGTCTGCCTAGCCTCTTGTATTTGCGTGCCAAAATAATGTGGCAGCAACCCCTTTATACCAGAACCCACCTCAGGCCCGCGCATGCTAGTGTGGGAACTGACATCAGGGGAGAGGGGGTGGGGGGGGGGGGGGGGGAGGAGGTTGAAGCAGTGACCAATGGATTGGCATTAATGAACAGGGGGGTGGGAACAAGCAAGGCCAGTGGCAATTGGATTTACTGAAAAGTACAGCGAGAGCACCCCATCACCAGGTCCTTCCGCTGTCGGGGCACTTTTAAACGGCTTACCTGCGGGCCAGAAGATTGCATTGACATCGGCTCCAGCTCAACGTCACCAGCAATGGTGGCAAGAGTAGCCATTGGTCCAGAAGAGTAGCCCTTGTCAGACGAATCCATGCCATCCTCCATTGCCGTTCTTACATCGTCCTGCCCAAATGCAGCGCCAATGCCTGGCAGGGCGTACTGCTGGCCAGCGAAGTCAGAGCCGTTAGAAGCAGTGCCGGTACTGGATGCAGGCAGTGCAGATGCAACCTGGACAAGAAAAATACACGATAATAGCAGGATAAAAACTCGTTCAACGGCTGACATTGTTGCACGATGCGGTGTAGTTGATATTTCAAAGTGTGGTCCCTTTCCCTCGCCGCAATTTGAAATATGGAAAGGAGAAAGGATCGGGAGATGATGGGGGGGGGGGGAGGGAGGGGGGGGCTGTAATAGGAAGAACTGCCTCGCTCTCCTACATGAGAGTGGAATATGAGTGAGATAGTTCACCTCACAACTTGCAGAACTGTGCAGAATCCACATTCTAAACTGTACGACACCTGCAACAACCCTGTCGGTGTTTCTGAACTGTTGTGACATAGTCCCCTATTGTCGGTTGCCATGGCCAGATGGAACTGTTCAGGACTGATATCTCATAGTCCCTAGCATGACATGCACTCGAGGGTTGATACTACACTAGCAGCATACTTGATGCATATCACGGAGGTCAAACAATTCCCTACCTGGTTTAGTCCAGCAAGCTGGTTGGTAGCTTGTTGGTATTGCTCCGTTGGTTGCTGGTATTGTCGCTGCTGCGGTTGCTGATGCCGCAGCCACTGCTGTACATGCGGCTGTTCCTGCTGCTGATGCAGTTGTTGTTGCTGCTGCTCCGGCTGCAGTTGTTGTTGCTTCTGCTGCTGCAGTTGCTGTTGCAGCTGCTGTTGCAGTTGTTGCTGCTGCTGCTGTTGCAGTTCTTGTTGCAGCTGCTGTTGCAGTTGTTGCTGCTGCTGGTCCGGCTGCAGTTGTTGTTGCTGCTGCTGCTGCAGTTGTTGTTGCTGCTGCTGTTGCAGTTCTTGTTGCAGCTGCTGTTGCAGTTGTTGCTGCTGCTGGTCCGGCTGCAGTTGTTGTTGCTGCTGCTGCAGCTGCTGTTGCAGCTGCTGTTGCATTTGTTGCTGCTGCTGCTGCAGTTGTTGTTGCGGCTGCTGTTGCAGTTCTTGTTGCAGCTGCTGTTGCAGTTGTTGCTGCTGCTGCTGCTGCTGCAGTTGTTGTTGCTGCTGCTGTTGCAGTTCTTGTTGCAGCTGCTGTTGCAGTTGTTGCTGCTGCTGCTGCAGTTGGTGTTGCTGCTGCTGCTGCAGTTGGTGTTGCTGCTGCTGTTGCAGTTGTTGTTGCTGCTGCTGTTGCAGTTGTCGTGGCGGCTGCTGCTGCTGCTCTTGTTGCGCTTGATATTGTTGCATTGGCCACTGCTGGAGCTTCAACTGTTGATGTTGCAGCGCTGAAGCATCAAATGCCTGTTCCACTGCAGGCTGAGCACCTGGAAACAGTGCATTAGCACCTGGAAACAGTGCATTGGACCTGTTCACTTCCGCGGAACTTTGACTTGACATGTAGCCACTCTGAAACAACAGCAACACCAGCATACAAACTTTTTTTTTAATTCAATTTTTTTAGTTCCTCTTACACGGACAGAGGGAAGCAGCAACAGACACTCCTCTCTTCCCTCTTTCATGAGAGTTCTCTAATTCACATGCGTGAACTATGCGTACTGGGCATGCTTCAGCACACGCCTGCAGCCTGTCAGTTTGTACCCCCTACCCCCCCCCCCCCCCCCACCCTCACCCACCACCCCCACCCTCACCCACCACCCCCACCCCCACCCTCACCCCACCCCCCCCCCCCACCACCCACCCCCCCTCACCCCGGAAGTACAAAACAAATGCAAGTACAAGTACTGAACATGTATGTATTCTTTTTCAAACGGGTCCAAGTACCCCCCCCCCCCCAGGGGTTGCTGACTCGGCTGCCCTGGCCCTGAGGTGACACAGGACTGAGGTGTGTGGGTAGATCAGGAGAGTTGAACACTAGTCAGCTATATCCTATCTCTGACCGGCCGTGATTTACCGTGTGGTTTTGGACGCAATGCACGGACTCATGCTGCCAAGTGCCACCAAGAGAGATTCCAATGTTTCCATGAAAGGAAACAGGGAGAGGAGGAGGGGGGGGGGGGGTGAGATGTCTGAGGAAATATACGTGATGCAGTTGGCAAACACGTGTTCTCTACTTCTTCTTCTTCTCCTTCTCTTTCTCCCTCTCCTTTTCAGTCTGCCTGGCTGCCAGTCTCTCTCCCCCTCTTTCTCGCTCTCTTTCCTCTCTCTCTCTCTCTCTCTCTCTCTCTCTCTCTCTCTCTCTCTCTCTCTCTCTCTCTCTCCCTCTCCCTCTCCCTCTCCCTCCCTCTCTCTCCCTCTCTCTCCCTCTTTCTCCCTCTCTCTCCCTCTCTGTCTCCGAGAGCCAGTGAAACCGCCCTCACGAATAAAATACTTGGCAAGCACTGAACACTGTAAATTCACACACTTATAGTGTATTTTTTACTTTCGCTACTTTCGGAGCATCTATTTCATACCTAAGTGTTAATAGCTGCACATCGACCAGCACATTACCCTGGCAATAGACATTCCTTCTCCGTAGTTTTAAAAATTCCAATAGCCTCAAGAGCACTGACTCGCATCATCCAGTGGGGGACTGCTTACTAGTGTCTGTAGCTAAAATTTCTGTTGGCCTAACACTCAATCTGCGGACAGAACTGTTTCGTCCTTTGTGGACTCATCAGTGCAGCACAGAGAAAATGAGGCCGAACCTGATAGCAACAGGTTGGCCTAAAATGTTTTTTTGGGCCACATACCTAAACAAATAATTTTAATGTTGAGCACCTGAAATTTCTGAAAATTTATGCTAGTGAGTACCATCTTGCAGTCTTCGGCATTCCAACACTTCACAACGAAAGTCTGCATTTTTCAGAGCCCTTGCACGAACGTAACACTTTAATAGTGTAGTCCGGAGGTTGAGGCTCAAGGTAAGACAACCTCATGGCATGTCCACGAAGGAGCGGACGGAGCACTCCAGAAGTCATAACAGAAACCCCATGGGGAAATGTACATACTGTAAATATACAAAATTTCGGCGCTGCAAAATTTCGGCACTTCACGATTTTTGACATTTCGGCAGCGATTTATTTTCGGCGTGGGGTAGAGGGCATGGTATAGTGCGACAGATGCTGTGAAAAATTTCATCGGCGTTTTAATTTAGGCGTTTTGGGTCGGTGCCGAATATAGCCGAAATTAAATAGCTGCCGAAAATTTGTATATTTACAGTAGAGACTTGTGACCGTAACGGTATCCACATCAGGACACGTGCTTACAGTTACACACTTGTGACTAAGCCACAACGAACAACGGCATAATGTAAGCCTTGTTTGGTAGATTAGCATGTTCATCGGTTAATTCGGTTGTCAGGGGCACTGTTTTCGACACCGTGCGCATTCCGCCCGGTAACATGCTGTCAACCGATCAAGATAAACAACGGTATTATCACGGGTTGTCCTCCATGGCCCATACTACAGTACTACTAGTACATGGCAATAACTGTGCAGATAACAAGCAGCGTAACAAAAGTACCTGTAGCCGGCAGCGTGCACATGCCAGCAGTCTTCGGCTGTGCAGTTCAATTCTGAAAAGCGCCGGCTACAATCTGGGGTGAATTAATCCGTCCTTTCTCTTCGCAAGATTAGCCCAGGAACTGCCAGGAGTGTGTTCCGCCATCACTCTAAACTTTTAGAATTAATAGCGCACTGTACTGCACCACAAGCTAGTGGAAAATGATCTTTAGGCACCCGAGGTGGCAGTGGACATATCTGTAATAATTATTATTCTAAAATCGCGGTGACAGATGATTCCTGGAACATACCACCGTGGGGCCAGGGAAATACAACTCCGGTGGAGAGGACTACAATGCTTGACAGTTTCTTGTTCACTCAAGACAAAGAGCTAGAGCCTAGAGGAAGAGATGTGTCGTGCGCATGCGTATATGTGTGTTGGTGAGTGATTGACGTCATGGCAGCGAGATCGCTACAGATCCACCGCCGCCGAGAGCTCACTGGCTACACAAAGTTTGTGAAACCCAGTGGCGTATCCGGAGGGAGGGGGGAGTCCGGGGTTCCACGGAACCCCCTATATTTTGCAAATGTTCAACCAAAAAAACATCGAAAATGTCATGCGTATGCAAGAGGACAATCAGTCATGTCGACATCCGGGCGATCCGTCCGATCAAAGTAAGTGCAGTCATGTACATCTACAATCACTTTGTACTGAGTAGATCTACATGATCGTACTTACGTCACGACTACTTCGAGGAGAATCTTCATGCTGTTTTGACCCGCTAACTTTTCACACTTGTAGCGTGATGTGTATGTCCTTCAATTCTTTGCCCATAGGAATTGCTGTGTTAGTCGATTTTTTCCTTTATTCCCTAAGCCAAAGAGCCCATGAAGAGAAGGGAAGGAAAACGTTCGGTTTCAAATTTCCTAAGTGTTCGTTTGGGCTGGTGTGGATTGTGGAGATGCATGTACAGCATTGAAGAATTGGAGACGCTTCCAATTTGTTGTACAATTTTGAAGAAACTCTGAAACAGATGATTATTCGGAAAACGTTCGGTTTCAAATTTCCTAAGTGTTCGTTTGGACTGGTGTGGATTGTGGAGATGCATGTACAGCATTGAAGAATTGGGGACGCCTCCAATTTGTTCAAATTTCGAAGAAACTCTGAAACAGATGATTATTCGGCTGCAGTCGAGCCTCTAAAATTGGAAGAATGTGTATCGATGACCAGTCCTTGGCTACAGATGACCAGGAAAGTGCCACACAGCTAGTACAGGGCAGTTGATTTGATTTGCGACCCAACAAGGCAACAACAGGACGAACGCTGGAAATACAATGGGCAGCGTGTACATGTACAGTACTATATGAACAGAACAACAAGGACAATCAAGGCTTGTTTGTTGCCTGATAATTGCGAGAGCATGAAACTTCAAGTCGCAGCAAACAAGTCTTGATTGTCCTTGTTGTTCTGTTTTGTATTACGCTCTGCCTCCGCCATGGTGTTGAGCACTGTCAGCACACTGGGTACATCCCCCGGTGTACAGTATTAGATAAACCTTGTTTTAGTTCACACATGTTGTTGTTGGTATGACAGCAGTAAGGTGACTGTGTTCCGAACACGGTGTCCTCCATCTTGTTTCATGCTGTCAAACCAACAACAATACAATCATGTACATGTATAGTCGTAGGAGACACAAAGAAACGCCAGCGTTGGTGCGATCACTGGGAAAGAGATGGCTGCCATGTCCATCAATCCTTTCTCTGGGTTAGACCATACAAGTGAGTCCATAGTTTTACTCGGCCCAGGCTTGTTTTATTTCGACTCCCACTGCCAAGAATATACTTCTTTGTTGCCATCTTCCTTTTCTACTTGCTTTCGTGGAGTGTGGCTGGTGAACTGCTCGTGCTGTTGTCTGCAATCGTCGTGTGGTCTCGTCGGGTCAAATGAAAAACCTTTTACAAGAGTATACTCTTGCTAGATAGATCTACTACATGTTCTTGGAAGTACATATGCTACTGTCTGATGACGTGTTTTCACACGAAACTCGGGGTAGCAGCGGAAAGAGACTTGTTTGATTCATTGCTGTGTAAGATTTGTATTACTGGCTCTGTCCACGGGACATTGAGCACTGTCAGCAGCCTAAGGCTAAGGACTTTAGACAACTGTTCTTGGAAGTACGACAGTCAACCTTGCGAATAACGACCCTCGTCTCTCAATCATCCCTCGATCGTGCATGAGAAAAGAATGATACTCGTAAGTGACTAGTGTGTACCCTCTGCAGTCTGCACTGTAGTCGATCTACCTGTGAGTGTGACCAGGTGACGTGCCAGTCAAGAGATCGGATCGCAGACTAGACGGCGGGGTGCCAGAGAAAAATTACAAAGTGCAGCAAGGACGGTACTTTCCCTCTGCCAAACTCGGGGAAAGTCCCCATTCTAGCCTACAACGACGGTTACGTACATTACATGTAGCTGCCACGTGTGTGGTGCTAGGGCCGCGTAGCCTGGGGCGTATTAGTACGGTAGTCTTAATCTTGAGGTCGGATCCGAGTTCTCTGGACATGCCATGCCAGGCGCCAGGTCCTAGGGCCGGCTTGACACACAGGCTGGCGCAGTGGCTGGATGAGCCAGGGAAAGCGACCGTCAGACCCAGCTAGGCCAGAGAGACGATCTTCACCAGACAGTAGTCCATGACTCATGAGTCCATGCACAGAGTCAGACACAGACAGTCAGTGCATAGCGAGCGGCGAGTGCTAGTCCAGCGGCGTCAGTGAGTATTCCAACAAGGCACACAGCATACAAGTAACAAGGATCTGTTCGATCGGACCACCGGTGCGACAAAGTAACGATAATGATGCGTCTGGGCCGCCATGAAGTCAAGACCCTAGGCCTACACGTACGTGTAGGTTAGCGGAGCACTCTGAAAAGTGAAACTCACCACCACTGCTACCACTGCTACGATTCATG